GGGGGGGGTGGTGAAGGACAGACAGCCATTATTCTTCAAGCTCTTCTAAAGTTGCCCCTAGCGATGTATGAAATATTTAGAGAAAGTGGAATGTGGGTGGATCGGGAGAGCTTGAGAGAAACAGTATTCACGCAGTAAATGCAGTAAATATTTGACTATCACTGATCCAGTGTGATAGAAATCATTGCCCTGTTGGGGCGCTGTTGTACAAAGCAGCGCCACAAAGCTGCTGAGGGACAGTGTAGAAAGACCACCCCAGGCTGAGCATGATTTCCATCTGCTTGACTTGGACCAATTCTTTCCCTCATTAGAAACTGACTGGTGTATTGATCCATTCTCCTCATAATCTCTCACTCGTCCCAACTCCCCAACCCCCCACACTCTTGGTAATTGGCCAGCCATTATGATCCGTGTGCTGTCTCTCCAACCCTACCCCCCAGTCTCTGAGCAATGGGTGGAGACGTACGCCTGGCCTGCCGACTGCAGAAGTAAGTAGTGTGGGGGGTTGGGAGAAAGATAGGTATGTAGCAAATTAAAAGATGTGAGGTTTTCCTGAAAGAGGCAGAGTGAGATAATATTAAAAAGGATAAGCAGAGAGCTTTGGTCAAGGGTGGTAGATTTGCTCCGGATAATTTACTTCTCACATACAAATGACACGTCAAATGAAGCATCACTGTGTTTTGAGTGCAGCATTTATCTACACATGCACTGAGCCATTATCCTTCTTTATATTGGTAAATATATATATATATATAATATATATAGGCAAATGCACATCGTACCCCATACAGAGCTAAAATCGCACCATCAACCTCCTCCTGTGGTGAAAACATTGATTGGATCAATCTACACTCTAAATAAGGGGCTCATTTATTTTTATTTTGCAAAGACCATATGACCAGCAGCAGAGCTACATGTCTTATTGAACATAAGTCAGAAAAGGTCTAGTCTTTGAACAGACATGCTGAGCGCAACACCAGGAACTGTCCAGCGCTGTATTGATTCAAACAAATTGACTTAAAGGGTAAGAAAGCAATGGGAGTGTGTGTGATCCGTACCTACATGGATTTCCTGATGATGAAATGTTGACATAGTAATGCAATCTGGAACATTCAGAGAGGTTTTGGAACAGTAATGCAGCCTAATGTTTGACATATAAGTATGTTTTATTTACATCCTGTCTTGAAGGCTGACGTATAGCAGTTCCCCTGACACCTACGCACACCAGACAGACATATGTTTGAGACATGGCTTGTTCTGGATGGTTTATACAGTAGCAGTGGTTCCAAGCTGTTCTAGATGTTTGTTTCACATTTTCTGGAACAAAAACACAGATCATATTTTATTTCACAGCTAAGAAATGTGCAAAAGGCCTTTTCTCTTTAGACATTTGCACATCTCGCAGTGAGAGAAGCACATTTGTAAATAATGAAATCAATGATGGCTGGATTTCATTTGATTGTATCACTTTTAGGGTCCTGTTATTGTGCATGCTGGCTCACTGTCCCAGAACTGCGCTATTTCTAACATAAATTATGAAATCAATACAAAACTACTGACATTAAAATAGTATTATAACTACACAAGTTAATACAACTCGCACAATAAGTACAAGAATCTTCCAATAAACTTTTTTGACAGTGAAAGCAAGTTTTTCCGCATTCATACAGCCTTCAACAACTGTGTCTTCATATGCGTACAGTATATGTATGCAACAGTATCATCTGAATACATTATGCCCGAGTAACATCATCTACATAAAATAAACATATGTAATGGTTTGATCTGCCTACAATATAATATGTAGCAGTATCATCTGCATACAGTATTTGTATATGAGAGTATCATCCTCATACAGTAACAGTATCGTCTTTATACGGTTTATGTTTAGAGCAGTATTATGTGCATATAGTATATGTATTCATATTTGTAGTGAATGAATGCAACAGTATTCTCTTCATACAGTCTAAGTGGTAACTCTAACATTGTCCAGTCTGGATTGGATATGCCCTTGAACATAACAGGGTTGCCGAGTCATTAAATGTTTCTTTCACATTCCAAACTGCATTGGTTGGAGAGTTGTCGCCCTGTGTCTGCTCTTACTGTTATTTCAGTCTCTCCATCTGCATTGATTCGTGCTCAGATGCCTATGTTTGACTTCTATGTCTTTAACCTTCGGTAATAAACCATTCCTTGATATTGTTCTTCATTGTATCATTCAGCTTCTTTATGAGTTTATATTTAACCTCAGTAATGCAGTATATACTGT